TTTTTCGGTCGGACAAGTTATACAAAGTGGGCCAGGATCGCCGGACTACGACCCTCTACATTTATTTGTGTCAGTATTGAAGTCTCCAGGCAGACATCACATTCCAAGACTTTTCGTTCCCCCCTTTGCAACCGTTTCTCCCATTTTCACAATGAAGGCGCAGAGACATATTTCCCGATGAACAGGGATGCGGGCCGACTGACCTAGGTTTCCGTTGCCGGCCGCCATGTGCAGAACATGTCGCCTTGCTCTCGTCGCGCGCCGCCGTGAGGATGGCGGCGGGGGCGACTGATTCGCGGGCTGAGAGGGTGGCCAGGGCCTCGGCGAGGTCGGCCTGCTCGCCGGCGCGGGCGAAATAGCTGAGGTCGTCGACCTCGTCTTCTGTGAGGTAGAGCGCCATCTTGTGTGCCGGGGTTGGTGGAGGAGGAGAGTGGTGGAGGGGTGACTGGCGCGGGAGGGCAGCGACGGGCAGCAGCAGTTGATGGGCGATGAGTTTGGGGAGTGAGGCTTCGAAAATTTATGTGGTCCGTGCGGAGGGGTGAAGTGGTTTCCGGTGAGCTCGGTGAAGGCGGGGTAGTGGCGGGGTAACACTTGGTTCACCGTTCCTCTTACCGAGGCTGTCCTACCATGTGTACATTAGTGACGATGAAAGTTTGCTTTGGACCTTCAGTTGAGTGATGCGAATGAAGAGTAAATTCATTACTGGTAATCATATCTCCCGTACTCTCCTTTAGTTGACACCAAGTCGAGAGTCTATCATCACGGACACCTCAGCGAGGGCTCTGGCCAAATGCTCTTAGCCACCACCCCTGACCCCCTGAACCCCTGAATCGCCGACTATCTGCAATTGCGTTCCCGAAAAGTTCGCAACCAAGTTTCCCCTTCAGAATTGGAGGCCAGCGAGCGCACACAGTAGGCTACGGTCGAGCCATCTCGTCAGGTCGCCCACGTCATCCACAGCTTGGATCTCACCCTTTACGCCGAGGACGAGCATAATCTGCAGCTCGCGTCTGTACTCCAAGTCATCAACGTCCGCATCATCTTCGCCGAATGAAGCGAGAAGGTTCCTCGCACAGCTCCGATCCCGCAACGACAATGGCGTGACCGCAGCGGGGTCAGCTGGTAACTCTCGTGGCTCGCCCTCCCTGTCGCCAGCTGCACCTCGTTGTCTATCAGCCATGAGATCGGTGCTTCGAATGCCGAGCACTGCAATCGAGGCAGGACAACGTAGCTTTCATGGCTGAGACTCTGCGACCCGTGTTTGTAACATTGCATAATACGCAGGCCGTCTGGATCAAAGTCGACGAGGCAAAATATCGGCATGTTGGGCTTCATGGCCTGGATCGCGTGAAGGAACGATCTAGTGACGAGGTCTGGGTAGCCTTTGGCCTGGACTCCAGGTTAGCAGGGAAATCCTTCTGAAGGTCGGGCTGTGCAGATTACCGTGACAATCACGCCATGACCTGCCCCTGACTTCCTCCAATATTGCTGTACAGCCAAAGGTCGGAAAGCGGCTTCCTTTTCGATGACGAGAACCCATTTGGTCGATGCAAAGTTCATGCCGACGACGTCTCTGACCGAAGGGATGAGAACACCCTGGTAGGTTAGCACTACGATAGATTGGCTCAAAAGCGTGCGCCATACAGTTGAACCAGAGGACATGTCGACCCGTGTGCCATTCTGGAGGTGTATCTTGGCGGGTCCTGACGCGATACCCTTACCGGCAGCAACCTGAATCAAATGAGCGCTACGCGCAAGTGTAGAAGAACCGTTCAACACCAACGATATTCAGGTCATCTCGGCCAAGGTTCAGCGTGAAGGCCAAGTCGTCTACCAGTTGATCCACATTGGCCTGACTGCCGAAGAGCTCAACGTCTTGGTAAAAGATGTTGCTGAGATCGAGTCAACCCCTACCAAGGCTCCCGCGAGAACAAGCAGGAGAAAATCACCGTTTGGTCAGTATGATGCCGCCAACCAATGCTCGATGCGAAAGACTCAGGATCTTCATCACTCGGGCTTGTCGACGACACACCAGTCAGTCAACCTGCGACCAAGGCATATTGACAAGTTCATGTTTTTGTTCATTTTTACCAAATTTACTGGCTTCTCGCGGCGTGCTCCCTGGGAACCGAAGAAAACCTGCGCTGGCTCGGCTGGTGCCAGGACGTCGAGCCTGATAGGGGATGGAAAGAACACGGCCATGGAAGAGGTCGTCTTGCACTTCACGGAGAATGCCATCGATCCTTGCAATCACAGCTGCCGCGCTGTTGTGATATAGATTGGGACTCTGAACAAAATCGACATCTGATGGCTGGCGACCCTGTTCAGCGCGAGTTGTCAGCGATCCGTCAGGTTGGCTGGGCGGCATGCGACGTGTAGCCGTTGGGCCGGTGCTCGTGTCCATCGCTTGTAGGGGAAGTTGCTCCGCCGAATTTCGACAGCTGAGTCGGTTTGATTGCGCGGCAAGGCAAGACATTCAAGCCTTGACATCGAGTACGACATGATGGGGACGACATGCCGTCGGCATCGTGGGCAGTGAAGATGGCCCTGCAGGAACACACCGTGTAATGGATCCCACTGTTCACACTGTACAAGGCAGCCACAGGCACCGAGATTAAAGATGTGGGGCTCAGGGGCACCGATCGATTGACCAATCAGTGGAACTTGCAAATTTGTGCTGGAAACGCTCCACCCAACCACCACCACCGCCAAGGACGAATTGTCGAACGACGTGACGACTACAGTGGTCAACTAAACATGTGACGCCAGCTACCACCCCGGGCCCTCCCAGTACACGCACGACTCGCATCCCGCGGGACCCCTTGACGGCGTGCATCGGGCTGGAGGAAGAGTCCGAGAGTGCCACCCTACTACATCTTGCGAGGTGCACTGCAAACTGCCAACCCCCGCGCCCAATTCGACATCCAAAGCTCGACTACCCGTCAGTTGATGCACCATGAACGGATCTATGAAGAACGGGTCGACGAATGGCTCCCATCGAAACGGGTCGGCGAATGGCTCCCGTCGAAACGGATCGTTGAAGAACGGATCAGCTACCCACGACGAAGAGAAGCCGCTGCTTTCACGCAAGCGAGTCGCTGAAGCCATCGCCGAGCAGCCCTGGCCCAAGAAGCCAAGGATCTCGAGAAGACCGATGTCTCGCGATGAGGCTGAATGACGAAGATGGCCGTCATCGCTGGG